CCTAGTTTTTCTTTGTGTTCTTTCACGTGCTCCTGTGAGTTGCGTCCATGATTTTCTCATATGCTCTAGCTCCCAAGTGCTAAATTTTCCTTCAAATCTTCTGCATTGGCTAATCACACGTCTTAGTGTGCAATCATCACAATATTAATCGAACATAACAATAAATAAAAAGTGCTCTTAAAATTAAAGGCGCATTCGAACAAAATATAGTAAATGGACATATAAACACACCCAAGATCACCGAGTTACTTGAAAGGTGAGAGAAATCAAGTTTGAGTGATTGTTTATGATTTTGAACATATATTGGGTGGTTGTTAAGATAGAATGTTAACTGGGAGCTATGCTCATATCACTAGCATGTGCGGTAATGTTAGTCTAGGTGTTCTAGGACATACCTGATAAGGGGGATTAGGTCAAGGTTGTTTAGTAGAAATATTGCATGTAGTTTGCTAATTTGGTCAAAGGCCAGGGTGTTGGCGTGAGAGATGGAGAAAGAGTGATAGTCCAATAAATAGAGTTGTAGTGGATTGGAATCAGGAATAGGAACAATTGATGATTTTGGTATTGACAAAATAAGTGGTTTCATAAAGTCTCTATGTGAAAGAGAGGTTAGGTTGTGATCGGATGTAGGGGTGATGTAGCCTAAATGGTGGAGTTGGCAACAGAAGAAGGTGAGATGACTTGAGATAAGGTGTATGAGTCCCATGGTAACATTAGTTGACAGGAAAATGGGTGATGTTAAGGATTGGGGTCATGATTATATTCCAACTTCCATGTTGCTTGATTATTTGCATGATATTATATGGTGAACTTGGATCAACCGATGATGCTTATCGGTGCGTGTTGTTTGTATTGATGCTACTCGTGCTATGTCACTTGGCATAGTCTGGTTGCAAGATCAGTGATATTTCTTAGGTGAAGACAAAGATGATCTCCGATAGCTTCTACCTATCTTTCTTTATGGTGGGAACTGTGTCTTATTATTTTAAGACTTGTAGTCTCTTAGGGAGGGTTCAATGAATTTCTTGACAAAAATATTATATGCCCTTTAACTTGGCCTCATCTCGCATCTATGCCCTCCAACTTTGGGGTGTGTATAACTAAGCACTTTAACTTGTATAAAATTGAAGAAGGAGACGCAGGCATCCTACGTGACATAATACATGTACGACGTCACGTAGAAAATGAAATTTCCATGTAGGATGCTACGTAAGACGAATATGTCTATTTATTCAATTTTATACAAGTTTAAGTGCCTACTTGTGCACACTCAAAGTTGGAGGACGTAGTTATAAGCTAAAGTCAAGTCAAAAGGGCATATTTATGTATTATGACTGACTAAAAACTAAATAGATTCTACTTAGACGTTTCACTCAAATTTCGCTTGAGCCTTGCCCAGCCAATCAACATGAGACAAAAGAATTGAAGCTCTCTCTAGAAAAGAGCTTGCAATTTGGTTGGATGAATTTAAGAGGTATGCACTTCCATTTCGAACTAAAAAGGACAAATAAGAATGAAAGAAAAAGAGAAAATGGTCAAATGAGCCCCCAATCTGTTACCGGATTTCCAACTACACATTTTTAGTTCACAGGAGTCCTATTTCCCCCTGAACTATTTAAAATTGAAATTATTACCTCCCTAAATGCTTATGTGGCAAAGTGAGTGTATTTCACTCTCTCAAAGAGAGTGAAGAATAAAAAATAAATATTAAAACTTTATTTTTAATATTCTTTTCATTTTTATTTTTTTTCTTTATTTGTTTTTATCTCATCTGTTTTCTTCTTAACAACTTGGTAGAGCATTCATGGTAGTCATCAAATTTCACCATCACTATCTGAAAACACCACCATTACAATATCTATTAACACACCATAATTCCTAGATAGAAATCTCTTTCCTATTCGCCACACAATAAAAAATTATTAAGTAAATTACTTTACCCCAATTTTAAAATCAACTATTAGCCATTTAAACACCATTGAAATATCATTTTGAAGCTATTGTAACAAATTTTTTAAGTTAACAAAATTCATTCAAACAACTTAATAATGTTGGGAATCTCTAAAAAAATTCTCAAAATATCCTCATCGAAAAAGATTTTGACCGACAATTTATTTTTTAGATCATTCCTCTTATTGAACCCCTGCTCTTGCAAAAATGACGCGGAGGGTTGTCATTCCTCTAATTACCACCATAATTTTTTTCGCTTCTCAACCTTTGTACTTGTGGCTCTATGGTAAGATGGAATTGAAGGATGGAAGAGGAAGAGAAAGAAATAAAAGGAAAAAGAAAAAAGAAAAACAGAATAAAATAATCAGTCAAAAAGAACAAAAAAAAATAAATTACACGTTTCAAACGTGTGGATTTCATTTATCAACATAAATGTGGTTGTGACTTTTTAGGGAGGTAATAGGACCCCCGTAAAATATAAGTGTGTAGTTCAAAATTGGGAAAATGCATAAGTACCCCCTCAGCCTATGCCCAAAATCCCTGATACATACCTAACCTTTACTAAGGTCCTATTACCCCCCAATTTCCCCCCCCCCCCCCGAACTTATTTTTTAATTAATTTTTTACCCCTTTTCGGCCTATGTGACACTATCCTTGAAAAAATTGTCAACACGCGTTGGGCCCACAAGATAGTGCCACGTAGGCCGAAAAGGGGTAAAAAATTAATTAAAAAATAAGTTCGGGGGGGGGGGGGGTAAAAGGACCTTAGAATTGTTTAGGAATTACATGTGTCTCTAGCGTTGGGGGGGTACTTATGCATTTTCCCACGGTAATAGGTTGTAGGGCCGACTCAACAAGATTGGGGCCCTAAAGCCAAACCTTAAAGAAGGGCCCTAATATTATTATTTAAAAAAATATATTATTATATATACATTTATTTAGAATCTACTTTTCTAGCATTTTTTATGTGAAGTCATTAATTACTGTTTTATAATTGATTTGTTTTAGTAATTCATTTTCAATTGACAATATAGTTAATCAATTCAATATCTCTTGAGACATTGTTGATCTTAGCTAAGATTTTTATCAATTTTAGTTTCAAAAAACTTCTTTCGGCTGAGACAACGGTTACCGAAATTGCTAACATTAATCTTTAAGCAATAATTTTTTATTATTTGTTAAAAATATATCAAGAGCTCCTTTTTGGGATTTATTTAATTCTTCAAGTTCTCTTTTTCTCTCTTTATAGTAAAATCGGAATCATATTTTCTAGTTGATATATTTAAATAGAATAATTTTAATAATAACTAAAATAAGAATATATATACTTATGAACTAAGAATATCAAGAAAAATAAGATTTTCAAGAAAAAAACTAATAAAAATAAAGTTAGAATAATAAAACATGGCTCACGAATTTGATAAGTTGATAAAACAATATCAAAATAGTGTTGCGCTCCTTCAATATAACGATTGCTTGTTGCACTTCTTGAGATTTTGAAGAAGACACCCAAAAGCATTTTTTGTTCTTTTGTAACTGGTAAGACACAATAAGTAAAAAAAAAATTGTAGAAAAGAGTTCAATATTAAGAATAAAAAGTAATAAAATAGAGAACAAAAAAGATGAGTATCAGGTAAATAATAATATCGAATCAAATTTTAAGGAAATAAATAAGGAAACACAATTTCCCACTTAAGAAAATTATTCCCAAAAAATGTTTCATTCCCTTAAAAAAAGTGGGAAAACTAGCTGTCATTTTGTTTGTTTTTTTTAATATACTTCTTTCATGTTTTTTTTTAAAAAAAAAATTAAAGTACATATAATTTTTTTTTATAATATATATAAGTATTTAAAAATAAAAATTGGGGGGTCCTAAAAATATGGGGCCCCAAGCGATGACTTTAGTGGCCTAGTGATTAAGACGGCCCTGATAGGTTGGGGGCTCATTTGGACATATTTATGTATTATACCTGACTAAAAACTAAATAGATTCTACTTAGACGTTTCACTAAAATTTCGCCTGAGCCTAGCCCAGCCAATCAACACGAGACAAAAGAATTGACGCTCTCTCTAGAAAAGAGCTTGCAATTTGGTTGGATGAATTTAAGAGGTATGCACTTTCATTTCGAACTAAAAAGGACAAATAAGAATGAAAGAAAAAACTAGAGCAACTTTAATTAATGGTCATTGACTGTCCAGTAGATGTGAAGTTGTTTGATTGTAGTGGCCATAACTTAATTGCAGGAGTTGGCCAAACTTCTAATTAAATGCTTCAAACGAGGATGCAGCAATTAATTTGAGATGTGCACTTCATCTACTAAGATATCGTTTTATATATAGTTTTGTCAAATCACTTTTCTTTTCTTTATTTTATTTAAATTTTTGGGGAAGGGGTTGGATGTGTAGGTAGATGGAAGAAATTAGTGGACGTTTTGAGCATGTTTTATAGCAAAATTTGAAAGAAAAAAATAGTTTGTTGTTAAAGTGAAAATGATATTCGAATAATTATTTTTGTCCTTGGCCATGACAAATTGGGGTTATTTTTATTTTTTTTTAGAAGTGACCACAATTTGTTTGAAAAAAAAAAAAGGAGATGCCAATTCGAAAATTTAAAGAGGCAAACGTGGACATTGCCTAAAAATATTGGACTCAAAAAGTCTTTTCTTTCTTTTAGTTACGACAACAGAAAGTTTGGCTCCCATTATATATCCTAAAGTTTGCTATTGCATTTCTCCCCATGTTTAGCAACATAGAGAATATTTTTCGCTTTTGTTAAAATTGATTGCGTCAACTATTATACTCTTAATTGGTAAACATTAACATGCATTAAAAAATTGCAAATAAAAATTCATTTTAAATGTACAAATTATTAATTTAGAACCTGTAAATAACTCAGAGGGCTTAAATTTCAAATCTTGGATCAACCTCTACTCCCACCCTTCCACATGTACAAATTGAACAATCACTTTCCTATTCTACCTGGGTGAGAGAAGCAGGGGGGAGTCGATTACACGACACAATCTTTCACCATTCTAGATGTAGATAGATAGTTACAGTGAAGATGATCATGAATAAATTCGTCATACGTAAATCTATTATACATACATTTTACATTCTTGAAAATCTAAAGGATTCTTTAACAAGCAAAGGACATTAAAGCCCATTCAATAATAAGGAAATATGTGAAATTAACCTAAGTAGTAAAAGTGGAAGTTATACTTCAGGCTTCACCTTTACATCTCCATTTGGTAACAGACTTTGCGCTTGAGCCAAACGTTTTGCTTCCTGCTTACACAGAAACAATGTAAAATGTCTGCTACAACAACCAGAAACTAGCAATAATGTGCAGAAGTTCCAAGAATAGCTCAATTATTGAAGAGTATAAACAACTCAGTGTATCAAAAGTTGAACTAAGACAAAAAAAACTTAGCAGTCTTTCACGATATTGCACAAAAAACACATTAATTGCCCAGAGGCTGTATCATGAAACCTTCTAAAGTGCTTTATTTTTTATCAGGAGTATGCATTCCCTGAATTAAAACAGCAAATGCTGTCAAGCAGCACTAGCAACTGTAAACTGAAATTCTAGTAATGTATTTGTCTATCTATATAGAGAGCATTAATTAGATCTGAGCATAATCTAACAATTTGAAAACACCAGTTAATTATAAGTTCAAAATTCAAGTCTTATTGGCGCCTATAACCAAAACGAATTTCCAGCTGCTTGGACGGAAACCAGAAAGAAAACGCCAACACATGGGGGACATGTGGAACTGTTAAAACAAAAAAAAAATTGTCATCTATCAACTCCATTCACACATGAGCCAACACATTCTTTTTCTTTTAAAAAAAAAATGGTAATTGTTTCTATTTCTGTAGAACAGTACATAGGTTGACTTAAACCGTATTTACATAAGGAACTCTAATAATACCGACCTGTCCCTATAATGAGTCTAAGACATCAATGATAAAGACAGTAGCATTAGAGTAAATTTGATTACACCAAAAATACAGAGTCAAAATACAATTCAATTTGACTTGTTGCACACTACTCTCCCTATTCTCAAAAACTCTAAGGTTCCTCTCTTTCCATATTGTCCACCAAATAGTGGCAGGGACAATTCTCCAGTTACTTCTGTTTTTTGTTTGTGTCCCTGCTTCTTCCCAGCTATATAGTGTGAGATTGCTTCATCCTAGGATGGAGCCTCAAACATTCCCAAATTATTTTAAGACAAAGCTAGGCCTTCATTGGCCTTGCCAGTTCGTGGACCTTAGGTTTCCACAAATATAATAAAGTAATTTGGGCTGAATCTATAAGATGGCGATCAATGGGAGCATTAACTTAACAACTATGCAGAGGAAAAATATGCTTAGTATATTAACTTGATAATTGAAATGCTCATAATATCTGAAGTATTGGACAAGAAGACAGAACTTACAGCTGCAGAAGCTGCACGAATTTCCCTATAAGCTTCCACTTCCTCAGGGAAAGCCTGTTCAAGATCCTCCAGGAGATGCCCTCGCAAACCCTGTGACCGAAGATTACAGAACTCAATACTTTTTAAAAAAATGATAGGTAGTGCTGTGATTACATCCATAAAGACAAGAAAAGACCCCGACTAATCCATACAAAAGACTCAATGAACCATGATAGTTTCCTATGTTCTTATCAATTCCATTTTTACACCACAAAGGTAAAAACAAAACACAATCACATTTGACAAATCTTCAAGAATGAATTCTTTTGTCTTTGCTGGTATTGTGTTCCATGTTTTCTTAAGATCACCCATTTAATGCCCAAATAATTCAGAGAAATTTGCTACAATTGTGAGGTGGTAGCACAGTTGTAGCCTTGTAGGAATAAGTGATTGACAGTTTTTGTTTCCTCCTCACGAGTAAAGAACTCATACATTCAAGGCTTTTCAAATTTTAGGAAATAATAGGGAAGAAAATGACATGCATTGCATGTGACAGAGAGGAGTCTGCACGCTAGTCAGACATTATAATACATACTGTCTGTACTAAGATTGATTTATATATCAGTCAAAGTGTATCCTCAATCCCTTTCATCTTCTTACATGCCTGGGCTCTTTATTTTCTGAAGCAGCCTTAATTTGGTTTCAATTAACATGCATTGATCAGCTCATGTCTTAAATCAATTTTTTGGTTTTGCCCTTTTGTCCAATTGACAATATTATTGTTTCATTTGGTAACTTTCTTGAGATAAACACAATGGAGTTGTTCCTTTTTTTTTCTTTTTTTTTATAACCGAGAAATCCGTCTGTGACCCGCCCTTTGGACCAATCACAGCCTTCTAAACCGCTTCTAAACTCGGTGGATAATGGGCCCGCCCCTCTACCCTTCTCCACTTAAATACCGGGCTTCGCTTTGCATGGTGTGGGGCTTGAACCTGCGACCTAAGCCATAAATCCTCCACCTTTTGCCACTTGAGCTAGGCCTTGGGGGCAATGGAGTTGTTCCTTTTCTGACCCAGGTTGTCTCTCTTTTTGACCATCTAAACCCGTGCATTCTAAATACTTGTACTACTCCATCAAAACTACCCAATGTACCGAGGGATCGTTTGGTAGAATGTCTTAGAAAATCTAATACATGTATTAGTTATGGCATTATTATTTAATTCTTCTTTTGGAAGGATATTGAGCTTATGTATTAGTTATACACCCTATTCATAGATAAGAATGACTAAGGAAAAAACAACCCTTAATATATCGAGCCAAACAGTGGATAAGAGAAAATCCCAACACAACTCATCTTAGCATTTCTAGTTCCAACATTACAAATATACTCTCTTCAGTATTGTTCTTACACGGTCTGCCAAATAACGTAATGGAGTAATTAACATTTGACAAATTTTAGTTTGTAATAAAGAGAAACTTTTAGGCTTCTTTGTTTACTTCTCTGAGGAAATGCTCTTCTTTTTTTCATTTCTTTTTACTTGTTCTTCTGTTTGTGATAAGGCAAAAATGGTACTCTTGGCCTTCGCTTAAGATGTGACAAATTTTTACATAGACGCTGAAGTTCTCTTCTTTTTTTTTTTGGTTTCTCATTCGGTGTTCAATATCCACATTGGGCAGACTAAATTCAAGAGCTCGAACTCAAAATCTCTAATTAAGGATAAAAGGATAATTAACATCCCACTACAACTTTTGTTGATCATAGACACTGAGGTTACAACATACAAACCTTCGGCACAAACAGGGGAGTGTCGTTCATCCTTCTTCCTTACCATTGAAAAGCTAAAAACTTTTTCAAAATAACATACTCCCTCTGTTTTGAAAAAATGACCTAGTTTGATTTGGAACGGAGTTCAAGAAAATAAAGAAACTTTTCAATCTTGTGATCATTGAAAGAAGCAGAATGCCCAGTAAAATATTAAAAATGAGGTTCAGTATAAATTGATAAAGCCAAAAACAGATTCAAATTTCTGAAACTTCCAGATATCCAATTGGTCACAAGGTGCACACCAAACAATATTAAAGGCACTGAAGTAAAAGTTAACCTTGAATGCATCAGTTTTCCCCTTCGTGATTTGGTTCTTGGCGATACAACTATTCAACACATCCCTTGTAAATTCATCTGGATTCTTCCCATCATCAATTAAGCTACAACACAAAAATTATCACATATCAGGGTCAAAACCAAAATAAAAATAATTATGATAAGAATAAGTAACGCATAAACAGATAACATTACTTCAGAACCTCCATTGGCACTTGAATATTGCATTTTTCTCCCAGTTTCGCCATATTATCAAGCTCAAGCACAAGATTATTCCTAATCCAAAAAAAAATAAAAAAATATCAAACTAAACCAAAATCCGAAGTGAATTGAAGATTATCGCAATTAGCAAGTACAAAGCTAAAAAGGAATATACTTACATGCGTTGAAGAAGGGGAAGTTGAGATGAAACGTTGTAAGAAGAGACGGTGAGATTAAGCTGGTGGAGAATTCCTAGGGTTTTGTCGATTGAATTTATGACTTGATTGAGATTCTGTTTTGACTCCTCGGCGGGTGAACCGGCGATGGAAGCAGCGGCGTTGGCCGCTAAATCGGCCGGTGATGCGTCGTTGGATTTAGGGTTTATTATCCCGTTGCCGCCGATGCTACCGGCAGCAGAGTTATGCTGCGACGAGTCCATTTGTTACAGATACCAACCGATTGAGAAAGAAGAAACAAGCTAACTAGAAGAATACGGAAGAGACGAGCAAAATATTGTATTCGATAAGCTTCTATCGGATGAAAAAGAAAAAGAAAAAAAAATATATATATTCTTCCAGAATTACAAGTTAAATATCTATGGACTCAACTGCAAAACGTAAACCTAAAAGGACTCATTTGTATACTATACACCTATTTAGTAAGTCCTAGACTCAACTATCGGGAAAAGGCATAAATTGCCTTCTAAACTTGTATCCAAATGTCAATTACACGATTTTACTATTAGGGCGATCTATTACACATCTTTAAGTACTCTAAAGTGTATTTATTTATCCCTTCCGTCACCTTACCAAGGGCATTATGATAGAGTGAGAGTCACTCGCCTCCTAGTGAAGCCACGTATTAAATGACCCCCAACCCGATTCATTTCACCCAAACCCGTTTCATTTTACCCAAATCCATTTTATTTTATCCTAATCCATTTTATTTCACCCACCCATTTATTTTTGCTAAGAACAACAAAACCTAATTGAATAAATCGAACAAATAGCTCAAGATTTCTTCAATTCTATAGTGTTTTTGATTCATCCTTTCCGTGCTAATCATTTATTTGAGGTTTCACTGGAGAAAATTGGTGGTTACGATCGATGAGCTCATCATTTGGTGAAAGAAAATTGGTGGTTATTAGGATTTGATGGAACATCTATTGTGTCGTCGTCTCCATTATTTTTGAAAGGTCAGTCACACATCTCTAAAAGGTGGTTACTTCATACTATTTAGCCTAGGGTTATTTCATCTTTAAATTTTTTTCAAGTTTACAGTATTTCATTCATATGATTCCTCTTTGTTATTGTATGTATTTTGTCGTGGTTGAGGGTCAAGTGTGATTAAAAAAAATGACTTGTTAAGATTGTTTTCAGATTGTTAAAATTTCTTTTGAATTGATTACTTTAAGATTTTACCACGATGGTGTTATGAAGAAGGGAAAAAAGAGATACAAGGGAACAACCATATCATAATGGAGAAATTATTGATCTTCTGGATGTTGATATATATAGGTTATCTTATTTTGAATTAAGGAATTATGTGAAAGAGTTGGGGTATGAACTTTGACAATGCATGTTATATGTGAAACTGCCTAGAAGTGCTGCTATATTAGAAATTAAATCAAACTACGATACTAATTTAATTTCTAAATGTTTGGGTAATAGAGATATTTTGGAGGCATTTGTGTGTCACTTGGTTGCAGATCCTATTTTTGTTCCACCTTCATTGGAATATGGGGAAAGTGGAGTAATTGGAAGTAAGGGAGCATCTCAAAACAGTGGGCCTAATGCATCTTTTGATGCTGAATTAGAACCAACCCATGTGGCCCAAGAAAATGTTTCAAACCATGCCCCTGCCAATTCAAATACATCTTCTCCTATACACTCTTTTACTGCTGCAAATACTCTTCCTTCTACTCATCAAACTTCAACCCCTATCCATCATTTTACTGATCCAACTCTTAAAATTGTCCATCCTTTTACTAATTAAACTCCTGACCCAGTACATTCTTCTACTAATCCAACTCCTGACTTAGTCCTTCTTTCTAATGAACAAGATTCAGATAGAGAATCACTAAAGGGACAATTTAATGGGAGTGATGTAGATGAAGAGCTAAGAACTTTTAGGGAGGAAAAGAGTGAAAGAAAGAGAAGGAAAGGGGGAGAAAGAGCTTCATGTAAAGTTAGGAACAAAGCAAAAAAAGAAACCATATGTTGGGTATGATGAATCTGATGTGGTAACATCAACAACTTAGAAGGCAAACTAGCTGGTGATGAGCTTTACTATACCTCAGATGAAGCTGTCAGTTTTGAAATAGATCCAGATGATTACAGTAATGATGAAGGAGAGGTTCAACAAAGAAAGAGAGAGAGAGAGTAGAGTTGTATTTGATGCAACTTCTCAGAAAATAGTGTGGAAATTAGGTCTTGTATTTGAAAGTGTTAATGAGTTTAGAACTATTGTTATCAAATATGTTGTTGATGAACATGTTGCAATTTTGAAATGCATATTAATGAACCAACAAGGGTAAGGGTTAGGTGTACAGTTGGTTGTCCTTGACTTTTATTTGCTAGCTTTGATTCTAAGAAAAATAATTTTGTTGTAAAGACCTACAATTCAGTTCACAAATGTGATCCTACTAATAGGAACAAGCTTTGTAATTGCAAGTTCTTATCTAGTCACTATAGTGAGAGGCTAAAGGAACAACCTTATATTATAAATTTTTGAATTTCAAGGGATTATTTTTTAAAAATGGATTTATATGTTGGAAAAACAATGTGTATGAGAGTAAGAAACAAAGTATTACAGGAGCTAATGTGTGACTATGTTCTTACGTTTGGAAGGATTTTAGACTATAAAGATGAGTTGCTAAGAACTAATCTAGGTAGGTAGTACATGTGTAGTCAAGTTTCATGAGGAAATATTTGAAAATGGTAGAAAAATGTTTCAAGGCTTCTACAAATGTTTTGGTGCATTGAAGAAGTTCTACTTTGCTGGTTATAGAAAAGGCATTGGTTTGGATGGTTATTTTCTAAAGAGATTATCTAAAGGTCAATTATTGGTTGTTGTTTGTAAAGATGACAACAATCAAATACTCTCATTAGCTTGGGCAGTAGGTGAAGTTGAAAATAAGTATACTTGGGCTTGGTTTGTCAAGCTTCTAAAGGAAGATCTTCAGTTGGGATATGGGACATACATGACAATCATAACTGATATGTAAAAGGTTAGAATATTTATTGGTTTTTTTATTTTATTTTTAGGTCTTGAATATTCTATTTATGACTATCTTAGTTTCTTAGTTTATTTAAGGTTTGCAATACCCTTATTTATCTAGTATTCATTAACTTTTTATAGGGTCTTGAAAATGTCATAAAAGGGCATCCCCCTTCTACTCCAGTCGTTCGGGTGATCAGGGGAACTATCAAGTGTAAAAGCTTTAAGAGATAGGAGGGAAGTGATATTATTCATTTGTCAAATGTTGAGCATAGAATATGTGCTAGACACATCCTTTCTAACTGATCAAAGACATGAAGAGGTATTGAGAGAAAGAAATATTTCTGGAAGTTTACAAGGTCTACTTTTGAGACTGAGCTAAAGGAGAACATTAATTATCTGAAAAGGTTGAGGAATAAGATAGTTGATGATTTGTTATATTATAATCCAGAAAAATAGAGCAATGTTTACTTTAATTTTACTACAAAATGTGATATTATAGACAATAACATGGCTGAATGTTTCAATGTACGGATATTAGCAGCAAGGCACAAGACTATAATTACAATGCCTGAAGAAATTAGGGTGAAAATGATGAAAGAATACAGCAGATGAGAGAGTTTTACAATACTTGGATCCGTGACATTTCTCCAATGGCAATGAAAGTTTTACAAGATAACACAGTTAAGTCTATGAAATGCAGCATTGAATGAAATTCAGATACAAGGTATGAGGTGTTTTATGGAGCATATAGATATGTTGTAGATATTCAAAGGAAAATTTGTATCTGCAGAGCATATTGAAAGGCATGCATGTCCTCATGCAATAGCTTCCCTTCACCATAGAAAATTGGACCCAATCAACTTTATTTCTCATTGGTATAACAAAGAAACTTACATGAAGACATACAACTACTTCATTCATCATGTTCTGAATATGAAAATGTGGCATGAATCATAAAATATCTCTGTTATACCACCTCATGTTAGGAAGATGCAGAAAGAAAGAGCAAGGTGAAACTAACAAAATTGAAAATTTACCAAAAGGAGGGATTGATATGTTATGCAGCACTTGTCATAACAAGGGTCACAATAAAATAAAGTGTCCTCTTAGTGCTCTTGTTTCTGGCACAAGTGCAAACTTTACTGTTAAACCAAGTTTAAGACCTATCGGTGGCCCAGAATACAGGACCTACTGCTAGACCAAGTTCAAGATTTCTACTAGCCAGGATCAAGACCTACTGGTGGATCAGGATCAACACCAACTGTTGGCCCTAGATCAACACATATTGTTCGACCAAGTTCAACACCAATTGCGAGCCCAAGATCAACACCTATTGCTGCACCAACATCAACACAAATTTTTGGTCCAAGTTCAACACCTACTGCTAGCCCAGATTTATAACCTACTGTTGGATCAAGATTAATACCTAATGCTCCAACTGGAAGAGAAAGGGGTAGACCAAAGTGTTCAACAGAAAAAGTGATATAATTTTCTTTATTTACTTCATGTATAAGTTTTAAATCAGTTGTTTTACTTAATATTTTGTTGTTTTTTTAGGATAGTGTTGCTATCAGAACAAGAATTGTTGGAATGAGTGTACTACACACACAAAGTGGTGCTACTATTATTAATGTAAGTTTCTTATTTCTATACTTAAATATCGTTTATTGTCCTTTTTTAATCATAAATTAAGATTATTTATATTCATTTGAACAACCTGGAATGCTCAGTGAAAGATTTAGAAATGTGAAGTTTTCAACATTTTTCACTTGAGATCTTGGGTATAAAACAACAAGTGGTGTGAAATGGAAGGAAAACAAGCTATGATCTCAAGGCAACTTGAAGAAATGAGGGGAAGAAAACAAATTGAGACTAGGTCTAAGGCTGCACATTTGAGCCAAGAGAGCTTCAATGCTCATAACATCTAATACAATCTAACTTGTTTTGATAGATTTTTGACAATGCAATGTAGACATTATGTTTTATTTGTATACTTTTGGCAATGCAATGCAATTGTTATTATATTTAGGTCCCTTATATCTAAGACAATGAATTGACAGTTGTGACTGCATTTTAATTTTTGGTGTTGATTAATTATGTAATAGCTTTGACAGTTATAATTTCTCTTTTGGTTAATGATTATGCAGTTATGACTGTGTCACGATCCAAGGGTACCCCTAGACGTAACATGGCACATAGAACCCCTAAAGGAACCATGTAAGCCACTTAACATATCATAGCATAAAGTATTAGAACAATAAGAGTAAAAACGCATTTAAGTCCAACAGTTTGATAGAAGCAAAGCGGAAGTCTAGACTTGTCTCAATTAGCCATTTATTACAATCGAAGTATCAAATAGGGCCACAACCCTTACAACAT